CGGTAATAGCTCTTTTTTGATGGCTTGTAGAATCCTGGAGGTTGTTTTGATCTCTTGTTTTGTGGTTTGATGTCGTGAAAATAGTCAAATACAATTGTTTGAGGACTTATTTTGATATGTTTTGACTATGATATGTATGAATGATTGGGCTTCCTGTGGAGCCGTCACATCTCGCATCCACGTGCATGCATCGGGAGGTCAACTGGCAGTATCGTATTACAGGAATAAGTTCGATGTGTTTGCATCCAGTATTCTACGATATTCTTACCAAGAAAAACCTTATTCAACATCCAACGCCCTAAGGTATGAAATTCTTTCATGATTTCTCCAAACTCGCCAACAACTGCATTTCATATAGCGCGAAATTTTACTAAACTTGCAGACGCGGCCATTTGCTAACTATGACTACCGACCCTTGAGCAGATCGAGCGTCTTTTCAAACGAAGACTTTGTTATATTTAAAAAAACGATACTTCATAGGTCTTATTGCTAAGGAATACTTTATGACTTTTTCTCCATTCACTACTGCAAAAAAATATTGACTATTTTGTCAGCTAAAGCCAACAAAGCTGCTGCTTTTGTAAATAAGCTTACGACCTCTAACATTCACCCCATTACAAAACATTGGTAGCTTTAAAGCCGAAGCGTTCCGTTTAGTAGATTGATAATCACATTTCATTCAGGCTTGTAGTAAATTCATTATATTTATTCCCACCATTGCAGCGATCAATGGAGAATTATTTTATCTATTTTTGTTCTATCTGTCTCTTGTTCTATCTTGTTTTGTTTTAATGTTTTTTAGCGTTTCTCGCAAGAAGGAGTATATAAGAACTTTTAAGTTTCTTGTAGTTTTGGTAGATAAGACTGAAATGAAAGGTAAACTGCAGAATTATTATCAGAACATGCACTTCAGCTATATACAAATTGAATGCAATTCGAAATACTTTCTCGGTGTTATCCCCACCGTCATAACATTACGTCCTATTAAACTTTCAAGGGATCTTATTCATAGATTGCGTGACATTTTGAAATCGCTGAATACCTGTATGGATGTTATAAAGGTACTATCGTCGTGTACGGATTAACGAAGTACGTCATAGGTTTCCGAACACACGAGTGGGACTTAGAAATTTTGTTCTCCTCACTTAGAAAAAAAATTAAGTGAAGACACCAAGAATCGAACTCGGTACCTTCGGCACCAAAGAACTACTACAATGCCAACCCCAACCCTAACCCTAACCCTAAACCTAACCCCTAGACCACGAAGTGAATTCGGTTGGGTGGTCTCATTTTTTAGTCGTAGGGTACGATTACTAGCCGATTACTTGAAATTTGAATTTGAATAGAATTCCCCTGACAATTCCCGTACACGACGATACAACCGTTATAAATGCCGACGAACAGGTCCTTTGACTATTATACATTTTTTGGCAATTAAGAAAAAAATTCATCCAAATATATTGATTTATTTTTTCTTTTGCAGATTCAGATCGCTAAAATGAAACAGTCTCATCCCGCTTCAAGCAAAACCATTAATCGTCGCATATTGTTTATTCTTTTCTGCGCATGCATTATCTTGGTAACGTTGTTCACCTCTCTCCTGCTTGATTCAAGTAGCTTTGGAACTCCAGTAAAACTCCCATCAATTCGTGGTATTTTCGAAAGCTTGCCGTCATGGAACAACAATTCTCTTACGAAACTCTCTCGACAGTCTTCTCCTTGTCCTACGTGTCCATCGACCAAGTGTGAAACTGCACCTCCTTGTGTCTGTGCACTGCCCGCTGGGGCACAAAATTGTCCTACCCCTCCCCCCTGCCCACCACGTTACACAGACCTGCTACCGTTCAAAAGAGATTTAAGCATGAAGCTGAGTGAAATACACCGAGACTTGAAGAGTTCCCTCGATCAAAATGTCAAACCTCCAGAACATACGCTTTTAAAGCTGGAAGGTATATTGGAAGAACTCGACCGAAACTTCAAATACAGCAGAATTATTGAAGTAGAGAAGGAAACCTATCATATCGACCTCAACGACACCCTTGATGTATGTCCAGAGCAATATCTCGGCGAGAAGAAGGGATATCCTTTCTTCCAGTTCGGCTGGGTCACACAAAACTGTTCCAACGTCAAGCCATTGCCTCAAGTCCTGACCATCTTACTTAACACTGTAAACTATCCTGAACCGTACGAGGACAAAATCGGGCTGGTTCTGGATGGGATAAACAAGACATACCCAGGCGTCCAGGTGTACATAGCACCAAAAAACACAAAAATCAAAGATATGGCTGAGCAGTTTCCAAATGTGACTGCTATTACTGTCGAAGAAAGGAGCACAATGGGGAAGATTTGGAATAAATTGGTTGCCAAGGTTACCACGCCTTACACCCTTGTCGCGCGCGATGTGGTTCATTTCGCGTGGTGGGTCCGTGTGAGGAGACAAATTCGTATGATAAGTGAAATGGACTACGTTGGGGTGGTTGGAGGGTCGTTTCGTAACTGGACTGGGCACTGGAAGGTTGGATGTCGCCAGATAAAAAAGAAAAACTACGTTCTAGAATATACGGAAGGATAYCACTATTCTTCTCGATCYTGTATGTTCTGCGATGAYTTGGAGGGCCCATTTGTGGCCAAAACAAAAATCCTGAAATCCGMTGAATTTGGAGAAAAACTACCCAAAGAGGTTGTGTTTGAGGATTTCTTTTTAAGGGTGCTCGACACGGGATATCAGACTATGAACTGTCCCGATGCTATGTATATCACCAAYGAACGAATAGCTGAAACAAAGCRGAGGAACAGAGAAGTATGGCGWTWCTTTTCCGCAAAATGGRAATTCATTAGAATTCTTCTCCCAGGAGGYATAAAACATGCTTTYTCTTGCCAAGAAATTTCCTACAAGTGTCGAACTAAAGTGACTAAGTATGCTCTTATGCCATATTGTTGTCTTGAACAGTATGGGAGAGCTATGAACTTCTTTCAGAACTTCTGTGYGGAGCATAACATYTTGTACGAGCTCGACGCAGGCTCAGTGCTRGGTGCTGTGAAGATGAGTGGTTACATYCCTTGGGATTTAGATGGCGATATGTCACTGTTATCCCAAAATATGACCAATCTTAGAAAGTTCCAGGATTACTTTCGACAAAAGGGGTTCAACTTGAATGGGTATTCAGCACCAAAGTGGGACGCAAACGGACAGATATTAAAACGTCGCAAAGGGTATTTAGTGTTCCACAGTCCAGACATTTATACTGAAATAAATGGATGGCCAACAATGTCTGGGTATTTGTTCCTTCCCCCTGAGCTTCGAGATCCTGTCTACTTCACCAAGGTCCTAATCAACGGTTACTGGATTAACTCTATGTTCTCCCCAGGCCTCTATGCACGCAATCGGTACGGATTAGACGTGTTGAAACACTCACAAAGCTGGCTTCAAGTTGGGGGTATGGGGTCTAGTTGGAGTCGTTACAAGCCGGGTCGTTTTCTTACGTGTAGATACCCCAAGTTCCATGCATGTTTGGATAAATTCCCTGCTGATGGAAATATAGCATTCCAAGTTCCTTGACAACATCTGGTTTTGCATCCTGTTTCGATTTTTCTATGGCAACGTCCAGCAACAAAAGCGTGCCACACCCAAAGTTTATCTGGGTTACAGAAACGCGAAACATTATATAAACGAACTTGCCAAAGCCCCGTTAAAATGAAGGTAGGGTGACTCCAGTGCTGTTGACGTCTTTTCCGCATCGCTCAGTGGTCATCCAAAACAAAAGAGTTAGGGTCACTTCATCTTCATCTAAGCGGGCCATAGAGTAGATTTCCTGAGTAATAAACTGCTCGCGGCACACTCTTCGAGATTGCTTTTCGTCCATTCCAACGCCTATAGTGAGGTATTGAGGTATTGACCAATTACTCTTCAGTAAATTGAATTTATGGACTGTTCTCACTTCAGGACATGCTTACTTCCAGTGAAATTTGACTTTCGTTTTTGGTAGAATGTTATATATTTAAAAGGGCATCTGCTCAAAAAATATGCATCGTTGGGTCCGAAGGTTCAACTTCGTAATGGCTTACCCCATCGTTTGGTATTTTGTTTCAGTCCCTTTTCCATTTTAGCAGTATAATTTTTTTAAAAAGGAGCTACAGTAACCTCAACGCATTTCAAGGGATCAAAATTAATTTAAATTATTTATTATCTTGTATTAAAAGTTCGATTGGCCATGAAATATGAATTTTAGCAGTATAATTAAAAAAAAGGAGTTACAGTAACCTCAACGCTAGCCTGCGTAGCCGGCCCTCTTTTGAGGCCGCAAAAGAGGGCCGGCTATGCAGGCTACCTCAACGCTTTTCCAGGGATCAAAATTAATTTAAGTTATTTATTACCTTGTATTAAAAGTTCGATTGGCCATGAAATATATATTTACTTGTTAGAGTCCATACAGATGTACAGAGACTTGAAAGGATATTTTGCATATAAAAGATTGCTTTAAAAATAAAGTGAGTTATGTCATTGTCTATTACAGGAATGTTCGAATGATAAAACGCTGTTTGTCTTACTGTTGCCCGAGACTAGTTTTGAACCGATGGTATAATCTACTCCCGCGTCTTGGCTTTTGTGAAAACGGTTTGTTGGAGAGCTAGCTAGACCAATATGATTTTTATCTAAAGATGAGAGTATGTGGACCGCGTGGCACTAATGAAATAGTAGAAGATAATATAGGTAAGTTGTAGTGCTTGGGAACGAGGTTATTCCGGGCGAAAGCCCTTGGAATTAAATTCGGAAAAATTAATTTCCGACCTCCCAGCGAGGTCGGAAATTAATTTTTCCGAATTTAATTCCAAGGGCTTTCGCCCGGAATAACCTCGTTCCCAAGCACTACAACTTACCTATATTATCTTCTCTGATTTTTATCTATATAATATTTCTTAAAGACGACGAAATATATATTTCAACATAAATGGTGCAATGCACTTTACAAACTTGTTCTCTTCGAAGCTGCAAGACACGCCGAATTGATTGGACTACCTGTGCAACACATTTGAAACGACGATTTTAAAATTCCCAAACAATTTTTTTAGAGTTTCAAAAACATTAATAAATGGTAATAGACAATAGCAATACCCAGGAGTAAAGAAAGGGATTTCGATTTGTTAAATTTGCTTTTTCTATGAACGTTAGAACGAGGCTGGAGGAGGGGTTAATGTTTACATTATCACGTGACTAAATAAGAAGGTGGAGGAGGAAGTTGCGTTCTGCCATCTTGGATATTCTGCATAGTAGTTGTTCGTCTATCGGCTTCCATCCGCCATGGACGCAAGCGGTAAAAAAGTCATCGTATGCGATAATGGAACTGGGGTACGTTCATCTACCTTATGGATGTGTCCTTTTTAAGTTATCTCCCACTAAAACCCCTTTTTTTCAGTTTGTAAAGTGTGGATTTGCAGGATCCAACTTCCCTGCTCACATATTTCCGTCAATGGTTGGAAGACCAATCATACGATCAACACAAAAAGTCGGAGACATCGAAATAAAGGTAAGAAACCCAAATTGATACTCAAGAGCCCTAACTTCTGCAAAGCTCAATACAAGTCGTACTGTGCTGTAAAACCGGTCAAAAATATAACTTCCTGGTGTCTTGATAGGATTTAATGGTCGGTGATGAAGCAAGTAAGCTGAGATATATGCTCGAAGTAAATTACCCTATGGATAATGGTATCGTCAGGAGCTGGGACGACATGAAACACGTTTGGGACTACACATTTGGCGAGTCTAAACTAAACATTAACCCTCGGGAATGCAAGGTAAGAATGACAAAGTTTTGATTCTTTGACACGAAAGCTTGTAGGTGGGGTTTCTTCTTCATCTCTTTATTTCCTGTCGTATTATACCATCACAAATTCTTTTTATATTCTTAGGTTTTGCTGACTGAACCGCCAATGAATCCCATGAAGAACAGAGAAAAAATGGTGGAGGTAATCATTAGACACAATTAAGTAAATTAGATTGTATAATAAAAAGTTAACAAGTCTAGTCTTGTTTTTTGTTTATATTTGACTGCCCAATTGCTTTACATTTCATTACTAATACGATAACACCTTTTACTAGATTTGTATGAAATCTTAAGAAAATAAGATTGATATATCTCAACTAGCTAAATAAATCGGTTTAACAGCTGGAAAATTGATGCTTTTCGCAAGTAGAAATATCTGAACTTGTGTGCTGAAACTTGAGCTTATGTCGTTCCTATTGTCAAATCACGGCTATTTGCAATACTTTGTTCTAAATATGACCTATATTATTAAATTTCAAGTTGTAATCAGGGTTATTTTGAAATGTCTTTAGTTGTCATATTGGGTAATCAGAATTCTAAATGAGATTTTGAAGTTATGAACTGTGTGACTGATATTTGTTTTTTTTTATATGGTAGCTTGTATGATGTGAGGGATTTTTTGGCAAGAGGATTTATGTTATTTTTCTCTGTTGATACTATTCTTTCAGGTTATGTTTGAACATTACCAGTTTGATAGTGTTTATATTGCAATTCAAGCAGTTTTAACTTTATATGCCCAAGGTAGGAATGATTGCTAGAGTTGTTGTTGTATTTATTAACTTATAATTGCTAAAGCTGTGTACTTTCAGTTATGTTTACAAGTATGTCATGACTATTGCAACCCCTTGAAACCTTCTGCATCTACAGAAGCAATCAACACTCAATTTCAAATAAATAGATGTATTTTTTATTGTTATTGTTATTGTTATAATTATAATTATTCACATAGTTTTGCTGTTTCTTTAAGGTCTTCTAACTGGAGTTGTGGTTGATTCTGGTGATGGCGTAACCCATATCTGCCCAGTATATGAAGGTTTTGCTCTGCCTCACCTCACAAGAAGACTGGACATAGCAGGACGCGACATCACTAAATACCTCATTAAAGTATGGCTGGTTCTTTCTATAAAGTATTTGTTACAGTATAAGTGAACAATCACTTTGAGGGACTTTCCATTCACTTAGTCACTCCACACTGAATGAATATTTACGACATATATACATCACTCCACTCAAATTGCCATTATGCTAGTCTTGCATCTCAATTTCAATTATATTTTTTCAATCTTTATAACAGTTGATGTTGCTTAGAGGATATGCTTTTAACCATTCTGCTGATTTTGAAACTGTCAGAATGATGAAGGAAAAACTTTGTTATGTAGGGTAGGTAGAACCAATTTCTTAACTTTTCTGTTTCATGGCTTCAGACTTGTTTCTGTTTCTAACTTGTATGACACTCTGGCATTTGTCTAACAATACTATTGATACTTTTTTTAGGTACAATATTGAACAAGAACAGAAACTAGCAATAGAAACAACTGTGCTCGTAGAACAATATACTGTGAGTATATATAGTACTTTGTTTATGACTTTTCTTTGTCATGTAGAAACGAAAACTGAAAGACACAAACAATAGGAAAGACCTACCAATGGACTTTTCTCAAAAGTATCAAAAGTATCATGGATGTGAGGCTGACATGAAAATAGTAAAGAAATGACACTTATTTCTCAATGAAATTTGTGGCCTTTTTCTTTTGTATTTCCATGTTTGCCCTGCATTCAAGACAATATTTTAAGAGGGGTGCATAGTTCTCAACTTGTGTATTGGTAGGGTTATTTATGCGATCACTTTGATATTGATTTTTATAATGCATATTTTCTGATCTTTTCTTTTTAACCATAATGTCTCATTGATGTGTATTTGTTCAGCTTCCTGATGGAAGAGTAGTCAAGCTGAGTGGAGAACGTTTTGAAGCCCCAGAGGCACTGTTCCAGCCTCACTTGATCAACATTGAAGGTGTTGGAGTAGCAGAGCTACTGTTTAATACAATTCAAGCAGCTGATATTGATACTCGTTCTGAGTTCTACAAGCATATTGTATTATCTGGTGGTACTACTATGTATCCTGGCCTGCCGAGTAGACTGGAGAGAGAGATCAAGCAATTGTACTTGGAAAGGACACTCAAGGGAGATGTGTCAAAACTATCGGTACGAGTAAATGGAATTGAAAACGCGAGTTAGCTGCCAATGTTTTGGTTTTCAAAACTGCTACTTTTTGGCACTAGAGGTCAATCACCAATAGACTCCTTGCAGCATGTCAGAATGCAGCTCAATTTGGAGGACATAACAGTAGGTTTTCAATTCTCAGGATATTTAGATTATTTTGTTTTGTCCTCCAAATTGAGCTGGTTTGACGTGATAGACTATTAATAGTTTATAGACAATTCTTTTAACAGTACACTATACAGTACGGTTGTAGACACATGACTCTAATAGCTTTGATTTGTGTATATATGGTAGTTCCCTTTGATTAATATTTGCATATACATTTTTTCCCCAGAAATTCAAGATTCGTATTGAGGATCCTCCTCGGCGAAAGCACATGGTTTTCATGGGTGGAGCCGTGTTAGCTGATATTATGAAGGACAAGGATAACTTCTGGATGACGAGACAGGAGTACGAAGAGAAGGGTATAAAATGCCTTGAAAAGTTAGGTATCAAAGTTAGCTAAGAAAATAAAAAATAAATGGTCCTAGTTGCACAATTACAAGGAGGTATGTGTTTGAAAACCTGAACGGCCCATCCATATTTTAAAATACAATTTCTTTAATCATTTCTAGATAATAATTACTCTTGATTTATTATCGACTTCTTTCATATCATGCTTAGGAGAAATTTAGGAAGCTTTCATGTATTAGACAAATGGGGATTCCTTTCTTAGTTGGATTTCTATCCTTTCTGCCAATAGGTTGCTATCAATAGACGTCACTTCCGGTAATAGCTCTTTTTTGATGGCTTGTAGAATCCTGGAGGTTGTTTTGATCTCTTGTTTTGTGGTTTGATGTCGTGAAAATAGTCAAATACAATAGTTTGAGGACTTATTTTGATGTTTTGACTTGGCATCCACTAGTTGCCCCCCAGTTAACCGCTTGTTTGCCCCCCAGTCAACTCCAAAAAGTCACGTGATATATAGCAAGCAATAATGGCAATTTAACAATATTACATTATATATTTTTGCTATCCTTAAGAAAAGCTTTAGACAAACTCTATGCTAATATCTGAAAGTTTTCTTGATAATTTTTTCTGGGAAGTATGATTCTTATAAAAGAAATCTAATTTTGCTATAGACGCATTGAGCCTTATAAATGTTGCACAATTTCATATCACGCCATCATTTTTTCTTTGAATATCGTTTGTTCTTGTGCTTGAGAAGATATATGATATAAAAAGCTCTGAATTAAGGTTGAATTTTGAGTGATTTGAAAATGGCAACATGATGGCAGAGAAAATGATTTTTCATCAGTAATGATGAGTCGTTAGAATTATTTTTTTGTTGTGTTCACAAGTTGTCAAGGCATTTATTTTGCTTGCTATAGTATTAGAATAAATGTGGTGAACTCATCATCATCATCATCATCCAAAATCATCATCATCAGCAATATTTTATACTGTACTTTGTATAGATTTGCTGAATTAAATGCCATAATAATCAATAACAGGATAAAGTTAAAGTAGTTATAGCATAACTTACTGTAAGAGTGTCAGGAGTGGAGAAATATTTTCAGGTTGTAAGATGTCTATCTTCATCAATTGATAGACATTGACACACACCAGTCGTTCTTTCAGCATGCATTAGCCAGGAAAAGGGGGTATTTTTCTATTGTTTTAGCCACAATAAGATTCAGCATAATTATTGTAAATTTCCATTGAATATTCTTGTCAAAATATTTCTTTTACACTTAAAATGATTTTATAGAAAAGCAATAAAAATACTAAATCAAGTATTCAGCTGTATAGTATATGTTATTGAGGCTTTATTTTAGTAAAGTGTGGAAGTAGAATCGTTTCTTCTCCCATCCATTTTCTTTTGGAGAAGGTTACTACAGAAAACATTCTTCCATGATAAAATAGACCAGTTTCAAGTTCCAAATTACTGCTGTGTTCCTTGAGTGCAGATTCATTCACACAGGCTTAGCCTTGTATCAGTGTTTAATTATTCACAGATACCAACTACAGTACTGTGAAGTAAAGAATGCACAACTTCAACAATACAAACGACAAACACTTTGAAATTCCACGGACCTTCACTGGAACACATGAATATTCTGCCCAAAATCAAGGCTAATCCTGAGCAACACAGAACTTGAAATTGGAGTATAGATCCCTTGCATTAATGTCCTAGAGGAATTGTTCTGGGGGACAAAATTCTTCTTGGGAGTCGGTGCAAGTGGTCTATTGAATCTTTTCATGCTTTCTTTATGGCCAATAACTTTTCACACTATTTACATCTTTTTCTATAGAGGTATATGTCCTTCATATGTTACAATATTTATTTTCAGATCTACACAGGGCACCCAACAGAATTTGATTAGTCCATACAATTACACAGGGTACCCAAATTCATAATCCTTACAAAGGAGAAACATGCACAGGAACAGAGACAAGTCCAGAAGAGTACACAGGGTACCCAAGTGGGGGGTCGGCTGCTTGTATTGTCAGGTTTCTCAAGAGAACAGGATGGGCCTGAATACTGTATCTCTCTTCGTCGTCATTGGTGAAGTAAAGTAATTCAAGAGCTAATGACGCCCAATGGCCACGAACAGCTTCACTATTCAAATGACCAACAGGTGCAAGGATTGCTTGTTTTGTTAATACCCGACTGGTGTAAGTTCCCTGAAATACAGATATAAAACACTTTTATTACAGGAACATAAGATGTGCCAAACAAAATGGGCAATTCCTAGACTAAAGAGTCACCCCCAACCCCCTGGGAGTGTTTAATGGCTATAAATATGAAGAGTGACAAAAATTAAGAAAAACTGCTCCCAGTCTAAACCATGATCCTTTGAGCATGCTGATTGTAACACACTTACGTCATCTGGGTTGCGTCCAAGCGAAAACAAGTTGGGTTTATTGTTAATGACTGCTCTTGCCCAGTCCTCGTCAGTGTCTTTACCCATGTACCAATCATTATCATATTCTGTCAGATATTCCGCTAACTCCTCGTGGCTTGTTACTTCACCAAGAACAGCCTCGTCATACATTAACTTAAAGGCATACCTAATGGAATGGAAAAATTGTTAATTCATTGGAAATCGAAACAATGTTTCCCACGCAGAGAAAATTCTCTATGAATATTCACCTGTATGCCTTGACGACGAGATCCATAAGCTGACATTCCTTCTGCAACCAGTCTGAATGTAGTGACCATGGAATCTCCCCACTAAACACCTTTAATGGGTGCACAGGCCCTGAACTGAAAGAAGATGCCCCTGGATACCCCAACACCTCGACTAAAGCAAAACATGTAGACACTAAATGCTCGTAACATTCCATCAGTACTGAATCACTTGCTATGGAATCGTCAGTATTTGCATTTAATTCTGAAATATATAGGACATGTTGATACCACGACAGGGGAAACTTTGTAGTGATGGGTTTTAACTGTTTGTCCGTGAGAGGCAGTTCTGACTTCCATTTTAAAGGCAAGTCTAATTGGTATGAGGTCTCAGAATGGAATGGGGTAGCAACGAATGTGTTTGTCTTTGTGCTATTGACATGTGTGTCTTCAACTTCGATTGTGTTCAGAGTAGTTTCTCTAAACTCTCCACCAGTCTTTGTGGCTTTCTTGCCCGTATCAACTGCTGGAAATCCCCCAAAAGAAAACTCAGGAGTTTGAGTTTTGTCTGGTCTAAATGCAGTAAGTTCATCAAGTTCGAAGGAATTCAAGCTATCAACATCCTTCCCTTTGTTTTCATGCTTCACTTGGGAGAGCCCCTTAGGAGAAACATTGTTTCCAACAAGTAAGCTGTCTTGAGACCAGATACTTCCATTGATGCTAGGTAAAGAGCTGCTTCTGGGCAAAGCTACGGGCTCTGTTTTCCTAGCTTCTGAAGAAGTAATCATAACATTATCAACATGATTGCCATCACGACTTGGCATTCTGACTACAGTTATTTCAGTATTAGTTGTACTTCCCCCTCTCATTTTTCCACTTTTCATTTCTCTGGTTGCCATTCTTTCACCAGCATTCCTGTTGGAATTTTTGCGGTCTTGGATAAACACCCAAATGAGAGTTTTTAAGAAATTCTCTGAGACTTTCTGTAAATTTTCTGGCTGGTCAATAATTCCAGTTAGGACATTCCTGGCATCAGAATACGAGTCAAGTTTAGCAACATCGCAAGGTCTTAAAGTGTTCCAAGGATAAGGGTTACAGTAGATTATAGATTGCTCATCTTCACGTACAAATGCAGCTTCAAAGACCTCATCCAGCCTTGCAGCCTCAACAGTATGACATGACGTCTCCTGCATCTCTAGTCCCTTGACTATAGCACAGGAATACCGGTAGCCACACTCTAACACATGAATCCAAACTAATCTATCCTGGAATCTCAGCATGAAATGGTCTCCTGCTTGTCTACTCCCAAGGGACCCTGTTGCAAGGGACTGGCTAAGTGAGGATATTACTTTTGGAGTTAATTGCTGGTAGTAAACAGCATCAGGACCGGACGAGATAACAGTGTCTCCTCCTTGAGGCCATGAGCGAAGTGGACGAGGGAACCCAATGACAAACAAAGGAAGACAAAATAATGGGAGAAGAGGTGACGACAAGACAGCACTCACTAGAATCACTGATAACACTATAGGAAATAGGAAGACTGACAAAATAAGAATGGTAGGAATTGATTTGTGGCGTTGCTTCTTGAGACCAAAAGAAGTCACAGCAAGGTTGGACATGAAAACAACCTTCTGGAACAGTTGTTGGAGTCTGTCTCGGCATACAGCTACCAAGACAAGCTGTATTGCAAGGCCAGCATTGTTCCACCAAGTTGCAGTATATGCTACAAGATATGCATTGATGACACACACTATGGAGAGATCAAGAAGACTGTTGAAAGTGTTCTGCCACACCTGGAACAAATCAAGACATATAGGTTAATATAATAATAATAATAATAATAATAATAATAATAAAGTTTGTTTATAGAGGATAACACTTGACAGTAATTCAACTGATAAACTCATGGTCCTCTTTTAACGTCTCTAGTTAATTAGGGACGGGACCGCCATTAACGTGATCATCCAAGCCACGTGAAGGTCTAACCATTTGCAGATGTAATTACAAAGGCAGCACCTTCTCCTCAGTTATTTTAAGACCCTGAGTGTTGGTCCGGCCGAGGCTTGAACCACGACCTCCCGCACAGCAGACCGACGCTCTTACCAACTGAGCTAACCGGGTGGCGGTTTATACTGAATTACTTAAAGACGACATACACTAGCTATAGAGGATATTAAACACTTATCACCATGGCAACAGGTTTAAAACAATGCCATTACCACACACCAGATGTAGCCTGCTTGAAATTTGGGGTATAGCCCTTTTTGACTTGGGTGTAACGTTTTCACATTTCAGACCACTTCTGTCTTTCTCTTTATAAGATTCTGTCTTTGAGTTTTATCCATATTTATGTGTCTTTTCATGTGCAACAATTAAACAAAGAATTAAACTCTAAAGAATGGTGGGTGGTCTGAAATGGGAAAATATTATGCCCAAGCCAAAATGGTCTATTTGAAGCCATTTTTTTAGATGCCATGCTGTGATTTTAACACACTGTCCTGTTTGATTGGAGCATTTTTAATTGAGGTGCAGAGAACTTGTGCATGTGATTAATTCAGAGGATGCTGTCAATATTCACACAAAATCTTTTCTAGAACCAGTACCTGTCTAAGAGCCCTCACAATACCAAGAGCCGTCATGACTGCCAAGAATCCAGTACTTTGTGATTGAAGTCCAAGTCCAAGGAAAGTTACCATGCAAAGAGGACACACTGCAAGCAAGGATAATTAAATAATTATTAGAGTTTCACTGGGTTGCACTGTGGTCATGCACCCATCTCCCACCTTAGGGGTCAACAGGTTTGATTCCTGGACTTAGCATCATGTAATGAACAGAGTTCGTTAGGTCTCTCCCTTGACTTCTGTTTTATACAACAACCATATTACAATGCTCTGCAATAATTTCAGTAGTCAGCCTACTGAAATCCACTTCATTGGATCCTATTACCTTTAGCACTTACCATATGACAACAAGAAGTGGTACACCAAGGCAATGTATCTGAGTCTTCTCTTTCTCTTATCAAAATTTGTTCTCGATTCTATACTTCTCGGGTACAAAGGATTTCTCACAAACCCCATGATATAGACTCCTTGCATATCACCCATACACTTGAGTATAAATAGCAGCACACAAAATGTTAAGCTAAAACCATCCAATGAAGTGACTTTATCAGAGAGAACGACACCAACACTGCCACATGTCACAGCCAGGACCAACAGAGTCAGTGTTATTATAATTTCTTTTATGGACCATTGTTGGGCACTTGGTTTTTTGGGAGAGATATTATTAGTTATCTTGGATCTTATCAAGGCAGCGATGCTGAATATGTCCAAACTTAAGATGTACCCAAAGAGGCTTGAGAGGATAATGACAACAACATGGCTGGGAATAAATATGGCCAAAATTGCAGGAATCATGGATATAAGTAGCATCACAATAAGCCTGAAAACCAAAGGATTGGTGTCAGATGTGGTAAGGATTATTTTCATATTGTCATTATATATATAAACATACTTTCCTCAGTCTATAGGCAGTAGAGGTGTGTGTGCATGTAAGAGGGGGGAAATGGAAACTCTTTTCATTCATTGGAGACCAACTACTCCGAATGTGGTCATACAAGAAAGTGCATTAGTTATACATAGAATCAAGGGTGGAGGGTGTCAGATCCCTATGACCCTCCTCCCCCCTGGGAACACACCTGCCCACAAATGAAAACCCAGCCACCCAATGAAGTGCACCATTAGTGCAATTTTGGTATGACTGTGAAAAGCTCAGTGCCGTAAGCGTGACGTGCCGTGACTGTGATACTTTCTAGAATTTTATTTGGCTGATAAAATTCTAGAAAGCATCACGGTCACAACACATCATGCTTACAGCAATGAGCTTTTCACAGTCATACAAAAACTGCTCTATGTTTGGTCTAAAAGTGCCGTGATCTTGGGGTGAAGGTGTCCGCCCTGTAATTATGCCGTGTTCCAGGTATTTAATTGGATGGAGAGTAAATTCTCGTGCAGTGTGATTTCTGGCGTATCCCTTGCTGTGTCACGACCGTGTTCATGCTGTGAACTTTTCACAGTCATACGAAAACTGCACTATGTATACTAGGTACAAACCTTAAATCTGTGGCCATGGGAGATCCACCAAGAATAAATACCAAGAGCTGCTCGGTTACCCAGGAAAAAAGGGCATCCAGTGGAGGGAGAGTTCCAAATGTCCACAGGAAAAGTAAAAATGGGAAAACAGCATGAAGAACTTGATTCAAAAGAATGAGAGTAGAATGAGACCTGTAGGTTGAAAACATCATCATATCAATGAATGAAGGATAAATTGATGGATGGATGAGGGTGAACAAATGAAGTTAGTGGAGGGGTTAAATAGATGGAGGATGGGATGGAGAGATGGACAAATGGATAAATAGGTGGATAAATTGAAGAATAAATGATAAGCAATCAGTACTCATGGATTCCTTGAGAAAGCAATGTTCTATGGTATAAGTGGATATTAGAATTTTTCAAACAACTTCATTAAAAAACATACCCTATTATCAAGCCAGAAATTCCAAACAGCAAAACATAAAATGGTCGCATGAATGGGGCAATATCCACCCATAAATGTCGTCTGAATATGGCTGGCTCTGGAGGAGGGGTGGCAATGATGGAATACTGTGCAATACAGACCACTATCCAACCAAATCCATAAATAATCACAGTTACTGCGGTGTTGCCATAGAGATCATTTAGATTGACAGGTAGCAAGTAAAGGAACATTATTGCACCTAATATTCCAGAAAATATTCCTTGAATAACGATTTCTGCTGCATTTTTCTTGGTCGAAAATATAAACTGGAATGTCTCACGTCCACAGCAAGACTCAAACTCCACTTCATCTTCCTCAGCCAGGAGATTAGGCTGTACTTTAGAGACGTTCGTATATCGTCTGTTCGTAAACCATACAGCGAGATTTGCGGTCAGTACAAGACATGTAACTAAGCATCCATACACATAGCAACAGATCGAAGATGATAAGACTTCATACTCGGAAATAATCGTCAGTACTCCACCAAGCAATAAAGGCACCAGAAATACCAAGACCTGGTTACAATACACGTAAAAAGGAGCATCGTAGCCAAGGCGAAGTTTTATTCCTCCTAATAATGTTTGTGGAAACCGTTTCTTGAAGAAGTCTAGTTTATAGTCGTTAAGCAACGGTGCTCCGGAGTCACTCATTTGATCGAATCTTGATTTCTCGATTACTGAGTTAACTTTGAAGCCATGATCTTCGTAGTGATTTGGGAATATAATGCGACTAAGGTGATATTCCTGGGCTTTATCAGTCTCGATTCCAAACGTAATTATTTGTTTAATTCGTCGTGAAGGCCATTTTCTTACCACTTAAACATCATAAACCGAAAAATCGATGCCTTGGGACTGTTCTGGGGTGAATCAGCCTTTAACCACATTCAGAAATGACATTTATCCTTCGTTTGTAAGATTCTGTCGTTATTTGTTCAGCAGAAAGTTAAATTCATGCCATAATTTGGTCCAAAACATCACACATTGAGTATTTGTGAACGAAGAAAAACGACTTGTGACGTCAAAGTTTCCGCTCGCCACAGGAAACCCATAACAACTAAAGAAAAACACAGCACTCCCATTCGAAAAATATTGAAAAAATGGTCGATTTAACAAATTTAGACATCACTTTTTGTGTGTCTATCCTCTTATTGACGATAAATTGCGTCATCACATTGTCAAAGTAGCATGCGGATCCACTCGGCTACGCCTTGTGGATCCACACTACAACGTAACGTTGGGGGAAGGGGGCCGTTTCGCAGGCTAGCAATGAAGTGAATGAATAGTTTCTAAAACTGTTTCCTTTTTTCTAGTTTTCCATTATATTTGTAGGTTTTAATTTATAGTAGTATTAATGATTTCTACCCATATCAAGAATATGTGCGCAAAGGGAAACAGAGTCCTCGGGCTCGTAAAGCGAGCGTGCGGTAAAGACATTACCAACCGGCATATCAACAAGAAAACTTATGTAAGTTAGACCGATATTAGAATATATGCCTCGTGTCTGTGTTCCCCCTACACAGCTTTACATCGTAGGTTACTTGAAAATATTCAACGTCGCGCTACCAAAACTCATTTTTAATTATCCTGATAGAAAGGTGACCTATAAAGAGAGGCTAGATAAACTTACTTCCGTTAGAATATCGTAGGGATACACATGACCTCGTTCTTTTGTTTAAATTTAAGTCTGGGCTCATGAAAGCAGCCGGATTTAGGCTTTTTGATCCCCGCAACTTCAAATCATGGCACGTGCAGTTATGATCCTACAAATTTCTGCCTCGTTTATCTCACTGTCAGCTATACTTTACAAGTACTTTTTCTCAGGTCTGTGTTAAATTGTGGAACAAACCCCCTAGTTCTCTGAAGCATGCTGAATCTGTCCCAAAATTCAAAGATATCATTTTTCATCATTTTAAGGATAAAATAACAAATTCATACAGACCGCCTTAGGGATGGACAATTAGATAATTGATAGGGGGGAGGGGGGTTGCAGGAATTTTGGTTGCATGATATTTATTTTTTTGGCTTAAACCTTGCACGTTATTTTTTTGTGTACAGTTAGATATATTTCTTCTAGCAGAAGAGGTTGCTCGATATTTTTTGGGGGGTTTACGCAACCCCCCCCCCATCAACTATCTAATGGTCCGTCCCCGCGTTAGTAATCTCGTACAGCATTACTATCTTTTTGCCTAAGGTACAAGTGTTCCATCGTTTTCGTTAACTATTTATTCAATTATTATCTATTCTATTATTAATATTAATATTATTATTATATTATCATCCATTCTTACCTATTTGTAGTTTATAAGGGGCTGAATAGCAATTGGGGCGTTGCCCTGTGTTAGAGTCTCCGTTATTTTCTAGTGACGAAATATTAATAAACTAAACTATTAAAACTAATTCAATCAATCATTTCAATCGATCAATCTTTTTATTTTTTTTGTTCCATACTGTCACGACTGAGTAGGTGCATAGCTAACTATGGTATGGTGGGTGATTGTACAATATTTGACAACACAGGCAGCAAAAGCTCTGTTCTAGAGCTGTACCAGTTCAAGGGAGAATGTATTTTACTATAGGAACTTAATTAAGAGTAAAACTTACTAAACTTAGTTTATCTGTTGGTATTAAAGCCCTGTGCTCAACTGCAGACAATTTCAAGGGTTTTTCTTCATTTTATGAATCTCCTTAGAATAAATGACAATGAGGTAATTTATATCCCTTCAGATACCTTCTATTCGGATCCCTTCGGATCCCTTCGGTGAGATGGCGTCCGGGGAATTAAACAATGAATTATCAACCGCAGTGAAAGGTTACTGTCGCATTTTTACTTCGCATTAAAACGATCAATAAAACTATATCAAAAGATGTTGAAAAAATTGTTAACGGAAAAAAGAGGGGAAAATTCCATTGTGAATTGATAGTTAAATCGTTGGCTCCAAACACTCCTTTTCCCGAAGGGATTCGAAGCGATTCGAATGTATCCAAAAGCGATATAAATTTTATGGTTTCCAGGCCTCGCCGTGAGCTTTTAGTCTCTAACCTGCAGAGTAAACCGAGTCGAAGTTCGAAATTCAAGGCAAGGCTAATGGTCTGTGTATTAATATCTGGGTTTTATTCATCTGTATGGACGTATCGGAGAACTATACATTCGTGCTCCTGTGAAGTAAAATTGCGACAGAATTTGTATTTTCTGAATGAATCGACCTCAAGTAGAACGTACCGAGAGTGAAGACGGTTGGTCAACCTCCTTTGTCATCATTTCCATCTGAAGGAAATGGATAAAATGAAGAAAAACCATCGGGAAATCGCCTGCAATTGAAGATGCATAAAAAGACGTCAACTAAGGTTAGTGAATTGTACTCTTAAATTTCTTTATATAAAATACGATGAAAACAAACCCAAACATTCTTTCTAGAAATACAGCTTTAGAACAGAGGCTACCTGTGGTTGAAACAGTGTCCAAGAACCTGAACCTACATAGCACTCAGTTGCTGTAATGTTTTTTATGGATCATAGCTTAGTCGTGATGTTCGATGCTTGTTGGTGGGTCTGAGGATAAGTATCAAAATTATTTTCAGCTTTGTTAGTGTTTTGGGTTTTTTGTCCTTCCAATACAGCTGAATCCTTAGTTTTTATGGCTGGAAACATTCCTTGTTGGCTTCCACAGGCTTTTGCATCGAGTTCGTTTAAAGCATCTGCATTCGCATGAACCTCATCTACCAGTTCATTTCCGTTCTGTACACGGGATTCGTTGACCAATGCCATAGAAACGTGCTTACTCCACTTGCCAATGACAGAGAGGTAAACTGGCAGGAAGCAGAGTCCATGGAGGAGACCAAGAAGAACCATGCCAAAAAACATTTTGAAAAATATACGGAAGATTTCGGAATCTGACAGCGCAGTCAGCAGTATTCCCAAAAGTGTGCTTATGCCTGAAACGAAAAAGAAAAGACATTCACCAGAAGTCCGTAGTTAGTGGACTTCTGCATGATTTTAATTTGGTTTGACTGTGTATGGGAATCCGGAATGAAAGATGGATTTTGCATTTCGATGAAACGCTGGATTGCGGATTCCTCATCCTGGATTCCCTATTCTCCATCTTTAATCCAGGATTCTACATCCCTTTACCTCCAATGAAAGTTTATATATATAATCCATATGTTAGAGCGCAAAATTTTGATGCTGCTAATCACTTGAAAGAGCAATTACTTGCCAGCTGCATATGAAGTAGAGAACATTTAGTTGATCCCTACTCCTTGTTTGTTTACAGGCCAGGTACTGAGTTCCCTGCTAGCAAAGTCTATTCTCCTTTGCTATTAATTGAGGGGAGGATACGCTGCTGATGTAGGACGTTTATCATTTTATCGAGCATGCGTTAGGTAACTCGGCCGAACGCTGACAAAATACTATACATGATTTTGACAGCCGCCGCGTCAAATTACATTCGAATTACGTCGGTGTATTTGGTTAAGAAAACCCGTTTTGAAAACTACTGGTTTCGTTCGAGTCTTATCAATAAATTTTAACGCTCTACATCGGCTGAGTCTCCTTCTTCCCCGCTTAAAGGGAAGGAAAGAGGAGAGACTCTGCTCGCAAAGAAGGCACCGAGGAGAGAGAACGAACGGTTCTATTAACGACATACCTCCTAGGGTAACACTGGCACCAACACTCTCTAAGGCGTGTACCACCCGCTTCTCTGGCGTTGCCTCGTCTGATTTGAGAAACGAAAGGGCGATGTGCGCGCTATAATCTACTGAGAACCCAATAGCCATCACCAGATTGATCATAGAAATCGAGTTCAAGGATACTCCCCAGATAAACATCAATCCAAACAACTCGAAGATTAGAGCCACAAAACCCAAAAACACAAGGAAGGTAACGATTAAGTCAACAAGAAAAGGACTTGTGATTAGCAAGATTGCTAACGAAGAAACTGCCAAGTTTCTCACTGTTTCCGTAAAAATGATTGCGTATTGCTCTAGATATATGAAGGGTTTGGCAATTGGGTAGGCACGGAGAGACGACTTTGTAGATAAATCTTTGCGTAAAGTCAGCATAGCATCGCGCTGAAACACCGAGGAATGAGAATCTGTAAAAAAAAAAAAGAAGGAAAAAAGAAAAGAAAAACCAGAAGTTAAGTTAAATACACAGAAACAATGATAAACATGTATTGTCTCATATTTAAAGTAGGTTTATAATGCATCATATAATCCGTCAGTTCTGCAGCCAGGAGACTCTGTTTGGCAATATGTGTTGATGCCACTTGCAACACAAGCATAAGGGCCAGAGATGCGCACCAAGTACGTTGTTCACTTTTCATAATTTCTCACACCTGAAGAGAAGACCGACACTGTATGGCTCACTTTTGTTTGCGTCGCAAGTGAACACCGACTAGGCACAATACAAAACTAAGCACATGATTTTACCTTGAATGTAGCCCAAAATGCGCGACGCCACGACACTCTGCTTGTCATCTGAAAGCTTAACGTCTTGCGTAAAGTGAGAATAAAAAGGAGTTGCAAGAAACGTTTTTAGATTTGGAATGAAATCTGAACCCTCGGTAGTCAGATTTCGTCGTTGACAAAATGATATGAATTCGTCAATCCATGAACTAATCTGGTTCTTGTAGTGTTTATTTTGTATTATTATGCCATCTAATTTTTGAAGGGCTTCTTGTGAGGTTTTCGTGGCATAGTTTAAGTGCTCGTCTACCACAGCACTCACTTCAATGGGTCGTTCAAAGAATCTATCTCTTGCCTGTAGGTACGCCTTGTACTGGGTATTGTCCCTCACCAGCAGAGATCTATTGAAACTTTCACCGATGTTAACTGTCCCATAGATTCCAGCACCCAGGAGACCCAAAGATATAAGGATGACGATGATTTTGATATGCGATTTCATGAGGAATGTGCCCCATCTTTCCATTAGCTTACTGGACGTTGCCTGTCGAGGTTCATCCCATGGTGGTTTGCCCTCCTTGGGCGGCGGTGCAAAGCAGACAGGCAAACAGTTGCGGCGATTGGCTTTTATTCTTTTGACATCAAAGGTCAACAGCGCAACGAATGCTGTTACGATAAGCAAGTATGAAAAAGTTATCGTGAAGGCAGCATACGTGCAGAAATACTGAATTGAGGGGAATTGCGACGAAGCACTAACTGCAAAGGCCACCAGATCTGTTATGGTTGTCATGGTAATGGTGGCCCCTGTGTTTGACATCACTAGCACCACAGTTTCTTTCACTGATAGATCACGGGACTGCTTATCGAGCTCGTCAATGATTATAAACAAATCATCAATAGCTACTCCAACTACCAGGAAAGGTAGAACACCTACTATTTTCACAAACGGAGTTTGTATAATCATGGAAAATCCAAACCCTGCAGCTATGCCAAGAGCAACACAGATAACACCGCCCATACCAAGCAACGAGTGGCCGGTCAGTGGGTTCCGACACATCTTACCCAACATGATGTTGGCAAAGTTTATCATGATCGTAAACGTCAGCGCAAAGTACCTACAAAACCAAAATAAATTTTATTTGAATTGCGCATGAGGGCTGAAGGGAGGAGTGGGGG